CCCCCACCCCATCTGTCTCTGTCTCTCTCTCCATATATATACATATATATTTTTTTTCTCCTTATTGGATATGTAATTGACAGATTTTTTTTCCTCCCATTTTGTGGATTGCCTTTTCAACCTCTTGTGTTGTTATCTGAAGACTTTAGCAGGGCTTTAATTTTGAACTCAAAATACCTGAATTGAAAATCTGACTAGGTGACATTGGGCAAGCTACTTAACCTCTTTGAGCCCACCATAGTTTTTTCATGTGAAAAATAGAGATGATTTTTTTAATACTAGGACCGAGCTTATAAGATTGCTATGATGTGAGTAAATGAGATCATCATGCAAAATGTTACCTCAGAGTCTAGCCCAGTCTAAGTGCTCATAAGTAGAAACCTTTATTTAGTATCTGCTTAAGAAGGAACCACAATGATGTGACTGAAATATATTTATTATCAAATGGGTGAGTAGGCCAACCATACTAACAATCTGAACACAATAATATTACATAATACTTAACACTTGTATAGCAAGTTGCAGTGTACAAAACATTTAAACATTCATCATTCATTCAACAGGCTCTGCTGAGGACACAAGGATAAGACAAAGTCCTGCAGAACTGAGTGGGAGGAATCAACAAAAAGGCAGTTTCAATTAGGCTGATAAGTACTAGGAGGACAGAAGCACAGGGAGCTGGTCAGGGTGGGGGTATGAAGGAAGAGAAGTTGAGACTGAGGGAGGACCTAGCAGGTGGGTAATGATAGAATTCTACAGGATTTGCAAGTTAGGGGAAGGAAAAAGAGGGCTCAAAGGGCCGGAGCATTCTTGGTAGAGCAAGAAGCTAATGCAAAGGAGGTGAGAGAGATTGGTTTGTTGGGAAACACCTATTAGTTTATTATGGCTGGAGACTAAAATTTCAGAGGGAAGAATGATGTGAAATGAGCCTGGAGAGGCCAGAGGGTGTCAGATCATGAAGGGCCTGTGGATCGGGATAAGGAGTTGAAATCTTTATCCTGAAAATAATGAGCTACTGGAGGATTTGCAATAGATGGACAATGTGACTGAGTTTGCCTTTGAGAAAGATTTCTTTGGCTGCTATGTGGAGAGTGTAATAAAGAGAATGCAACTAAAAATATAATGAGGATAGATTAGTACGAGTACTAATCCAGTAGTTCAAGAGACATTTGGGATAAAATGGATCAGAAATGGGTCTGACTGGATGACCACAGTTCACTCTTTGGGAGTAAATGGAGTATTATTTCATTCAAGCTGAGGAATGGAGGTTGATGAACGCTAAGTGATATAAACAAAGACTCACAGATGGAAAGTATCTCATCAGAATTCTGGCTTTCCACCTGGACAGCCCCTGTTCACTTCCTGAGAAAATGCCATAAGTTTTTTTTTCTTGTTTACATCTCCACATTTTTTATTAATTAATTTTATTGGTACAATTTAAATATATGCAATGATCACATTCATCAAAAGGGAGTTTGTACCTGTACATGATATAGCCTTATTCCTCTTGTGCTCTTGGGTAGGAAGAACCAATGTAGTGAAAATGGCCATACTCCCAAAATTATTATACAGATTTAATGCAACCCCAATCAAATTACCATTAGCATACCCGACTAGAGAAAACATTCCTAAAATTTATTTGGAATCAGAAGAAACCTAGAATAGCAAAAGCAATTCTGAGTAACAAAAACAAGTCAGGGGGCACCACAATCCCTGACTTGAAATTATACTACAAAGCCACGGTGATAAAAATAGCAATGGTACTGACAAAAAGACAGACCTGAAGATCAATGAAACACACTAGAAGAGGCAGAAATAACACCAAACACACTTAGCCACCTTATCTTTGACAAAGGGGCCAAACATGTTCACTGGAGGAAGGATAGCCTCTTTAATAAGTGGTGCTGGAAAAACTGGATTTCTACATGCCAAAGATTAAAACTAGACCCATGTTTCTCACCATGCACTAAACTACAGTCAAAATGGATCAAAGATCTAAATATTAAAATAGAAACACTAAATCTTCTGGAAAAGAGAATAGGTAGAGCTCTTGAGGACATAGGTGTAGGCAAGGACTTCATGAACAAAACCCAAACTGCACAGGAAAATAGTGCAAAGAGTCAGCAACCGGGATCTCATCTTACTAAAATGTTTTTGCACTGCAAAAGAAATCACCAACAGAGTGAAGAGACAATCCATAATGTGCAAAAATATTTTAACCAGTAGCCCCTCAGATAAAAGACTAATATCTAGAACATATAAAGAATCGAAAAAAATTAGACCCCTCAAATTTAAGGACCCAATCCAAAAATGGGCCTCTGAAAAGAATAGATACTTCTCAGATGAAGAAGTAGAAGGGGCAAACAAATATATGAAAAAATGTTCAACATCACTGGTTGTTCAAGAGATGCAAATGAAAACAACACTGACATTCCACCTCACTCCAGAAAGAACAGCTATTATCAAGAAATCAAACAAAAACAAATGCTGGAGAGGCTATGGGAAAAAAGGAACATTTCTCCACTGTTGGTGGGAGTGCAGACTGGTGAAACCATTGTGGAAACCGGTGTGGAGATTCCTTTAAAAAGTAGGATTAGAGGTCCCATTTGACCCAGCTACTCCCTTGCTGGGTATCTTCCCAAACGAATAAAAGCATCATATCACAGTGATATATGTGCACCCATGTTTATAGCGACACAGTTTGTAATAGCTAAAGCTTGGAAACAACCCAAATGCCCACCAACCGATGGATAAAAATTTTTTTTAATACAATGGAGCACTATTCAGCCATAAAGATAAACTTGAGACACTTATAGCTCAATGGATGGTCCTTGAGACCATACTCTTTAAGTGAAGTCAGATACATATGTGTAAATATCACATTGTCTATCTAGTGTGAGAAACTGAAAGGGTAAATAAGGACCAAAATGTATAAGAGATAATGTGAAATAGGAAGAAAGTGTTCAAAAGGAAAAGGAAACCATGGGGGGGGGAATCGATAAAAGAAAGGGGATGGGAGAAAAACAGGAATCAATTTTAGATCCCTATGTGTAATTTCCCTTTGAGGAATTCATGTCATATTTCCCCACTGAGTGTTATTCGGCAATCATTCCAGAAGTACTTTGAGTTTTTAATTTCAAACCCTGGAGCTTCAAGTCATTCCTTTACTTCCCATTCTACTTAGTGTTTAATAAGTAGCCTGTAAGCAACTACTTCCATCCCTGCAAGGCTCAAATAAACAGCCTGAAGTTTAGAAAGAGTGGGCCCAAGTCCTAATTTGGCCACACATTTCTAAGCAGTAAAGTGGGTTTCTAATCTCCTATCATTGAAGCTGATAGGGACTGCCCCTGAAACTCTACTGTTCTGCTCACCAGGGAGTATCTCTTTGCCCCCTAATTACTGAGTATGATGTTATCAAACTGAAACTGTTAACCAAGATACATGGGTATGTTTTTACCTGAGACATTCATACTGCTAAGATGGGAGGGCAGGGGGATATTCCCTGAGCTATGTAATTAGCAGAAAGAGGGAAAGGCAAAGGAAGTGCCCTACTAGTCATTATCTTTTCGACAGGACTTCCATCAAATCCTGCAAATATGCCTTCCAGCTAGGACACCATTCTTTTTCTTCCTCTACAGTCAAGAACCTTTTGAGAACTTGGGTGCATTTTAACAGTGTGTCGGATCCACCCACTGGAAACTGTGAGTGAAATAAACCTCTCGGGTATTTTGTCCCAGTGACAGAAAACTGACTAAAACATATGGTGTCTTTTGAAACACAAGTTTTTAATTGTGATGAAGTCAAATCTGTTTTTTTTTCTTGCTCATTCTTTTAGTGGCATAAATAGTAAATCCAGATGACTTCTTTTTCTTGCCTAATTGCCTTGGGTAGAATTCCAGTACAATGTTAAGATGGTGGCATCTTTGTTTCTAATTTTAATGGTGAAGCATCCATTCTTTCATCATTAAGTATGTTGTTAGCTGTGGATTTTTCACAGATATCCTTTAGTGAGTTCAGAAAGTTCCCCTCTATTTCTAGTTTGTTCCGTATTTTCACTGTGAAGGGGTGTTGCACTTTGTAAATGCTTTTTTATGCACCTATTGAGATGATGCACTATGTGATTTTGTTTTTATTCTAGTCAATGGTATATTATACTGATTTTCAGATGCTAAACCAACCTATATTCCTGGGATAAATGCCACTTTCATAGTACATGATTCTCTTTTATGTTGTTGTATTCAATTTTCCAGTATTTTATTTTGGATATTTGCACAAATATTTATAAAGTATACTGGTCTGTAGTTTTCTTGTGATGGCTTTGGTTTTGGAATCCAGGAAATCTTGGACTCCTAGAATGAGTTGGGAAGTGTTCCATCCTTTTCTATTTTAGAGAAAATGTGTAAAGAATTAGTGTTAGTTCCTTAAATATTTGTTAGTACTCAGTGGTAAACCATCTGGGCCTGGAATTTTGCTTGTGGGCAGTTTATTATTTTTAATTACAGGTTCAGTATCCCTTATCTTAATTTTGATTTCAGATTTTTTTGATTTTTTAATATCTGCATGTACTTAATGAGATGTCTTGGAGATGTGACCCAAGTCTAAACATGTATACATTTATATTTTTATATATCTTACATACATAGCCTGAAGGGAATTTTATATATTTTTAATGATTTTGCATATGAAAGAAAATTTCATGGTATGCAATTTTTCACTTTGTGGTGTGATGTCAGTGCTGAAAATGTTTTGGATTTTGGAGCATTCAGTTGTCACATTTTTGGATTAGAGATGCTCAACCTATACAATCTATTTCAACATTTGTCATTTCTTCTTGAATTCATTTCAGTAGTTTGCATCTTTCTAGGAATTTGTCCATTTAATCCATCTATTGGCATACAATTGTTCATAGTATTCCTTTACATTTTATTTCTGTAATGTCTGTAGTAATGTTCTCTTTTTTACTTCTGATTCTAATAACTTGAGTCTTCCATCTGTTTTTCTTATTCTACTTTGCCAATGATTTGACAATTTTGTGGATTTTTTCAAAGAACTAGCTTTTGACTTCACTGATTTTCTCTATAGTTTTTCTATTACTTATTCCATTAATTTCAACTCCAATCTATTATTTTCTTCCTTTGGGTTGCTTTAGGTAAAAATCACTGCATAAAGTATTTTCTTATATTGTTTGTATTTGGTTTTGTTTATTAGCCCACCTTACCTTAGAAAGCTATCATATTCTATCATTGGATAGATTTAAATTCTTGTATTGCTGTCCAATATATATTGTCAAATTAAAACAATTTTTTGCAAATAGATTTCTAGCCTCTGAAACCTTGCTGTTAAACATGTGGCCCATGGAGCATGAGCATCAGTGATACCTAGACGTGTTGCAGAAATACAGAATATCAGGCCCTTTGTGGATCTAGTGAGTCAAAATCACATTATAACGAAGTGCACAGGTAATTACTATACACATTAAACTTTAAGATAAACAGTGAGAGAGAAGCACCACTACTGAAGGAAACCAAAGTGATGATGTGGGTATGCCCAGAGGTCCATGTGATATTGAAGAGCTTACACCTAGATTTTGGTTTAGAAAGGGAAGAAGCTAAGCTTAGTCTAAGATAGGACTGAGCTTAATTCACTGGCTTGGGACTTTTGCAGGTAAACTGAACAAAACAGCAAGGGCTGAGCTAAGGAGGAGACTAAAACCCACAGTGGCGGAGACAGAGAAAGGGTTCTTGGAAGGGCAAAGACTGAGTGGAGGTAATACAAAAATGAATGAAGGAAAAGCTAGTTCCAGAAGGATACAGCTATTATCATAGCACCCATATGAATTTTAAAAACATTCCATACAATTTTTCTATATACACATGCATGAGAATTATGCACACAAATGTGTGTATGTGTATGCATATATACATGTATATATAGACTTTATACAAAGACACATATAAGAATGAGAAACAACACATTTAAGACAATGGTTACCTCTTAGAAGGTGAATTAGTTATCATGGTGTATAAAAAATTGACAAATTATTCCTATCCATACACATACATAAATAGTCTTTATACAGATATATATAAGAATGATAACACATTTAAGATAATAGTTATGTCTTGGAAGATGAATTAGTTATCATGGTGCATAAGAAATTATACCCTTCCAAACTCAGCAGTTTAAGCCATGTATTTCAGGAATCCAGACATGGCTTAGCTACCTTCTGCTTCAGGGTTTCTCATGAGGCCACAGGGACGCAGTCTCCTCTGAAGACTATTAGGGAGGATCTGCTTCTAAGTTCACGCAAATGGCTTCTGTCAGGACTCAGGTCTTTGTGGGTACTAGTAGAATAAGGCCTCAGTTCCTCAGCAGCTGGTGGCTGGAGGGCCTTCCCATAGAGCCCCTCACAACATGGCAGCAGGCTTCATCAGAGGGAGCATGTGAGAGTATTAGCAAAATGGAAGTCACAGTCTTTTGTAACCTGGTAAGAGAAATGACAACCATTATTTTGGTCATATTCTATTCCATTAAATCTATTCAGTAAATCTAGTCTACATTCAAGGGACGGGGATTACACAAGGGCTTGGCTAACCAGAAGATGGGGGTCACTAAGGGGCATCTTTGAAAGTTGCTAGTAAAAGCAGACCATGTTCAGTTTGTAGAGTTTTCAGTTCATAGTCAGCTGGCTCCAAGGTAAGAGGGCACGGCAGAAGGGCATGGCCAAGGACAGCTGCTCATGGGAAGGCTGTACAAGCAGAGAGAGAAAGAGAAAGGGGGGAGGGGAGAGAGTGAGAGAGGGAGGGAGGGAGAGAGACAGAGGGAGGGGGAGGGGGAGAGAGAGAGAGAGAGGGATCAAGGGAGGAGTGGAGAAGAGATAAACCCTTCCAGGGCACATCCTTAGTGACCCACCTCTTCCTTCCAGATTCCCCTTCCTAACAGTAAATCAGCTATGAACTCACCAGTTGACTAATGTCCCCATGATCCAATCACCTCCCAAAAGCCCCACCTATACAAGCGAATGAGGCTTTGGGGAGACATCCAGATACAAACCACAACAACACTCCTCACTGGATTATGATTTTCCTCTATTACAAAATTATCTTTTGGTTGAGGCATTATTTCCGGGAGCTCTCTGATAAAATAATGTTCAAATGAAAACTATGTTAACTTCAGTACAACTGTCCTTAGTGGCCTACTTATTAACCTTTTTGGAGGATAATAACCTCTGAGAATTCAAAGAAACCTATTGTTATCTAACCTCCAAATGCATAACATTTTACAATTTCAAGTCATGATTCATGAACTTCCTGGAAAGAAACTTCTACTTCTTTTTCTTTGAAAGACTGAATTAGGGCCTTGAGGGAACAAATCACTATTCTTGTATATTTTCAGGTTGAGAGGCCACAGAGAAGGTCTAGTGACTTGGAAGTAGGAGCCCTGCCTGGAGAGCAGAGAATTAAGTAGGTGGAGCATTTCAATACAGAAAGGCCCTGAGCAGCCCTGAGGTAGCATAATGAGTGAATGCACCCGGGTCAATTGGACCCAAGAAGAATTGAGAGCAAAGAAGCGGCTCAAAGGGTAGAGAGAATCAGGCTATCTTGGGAGCTTATGAAAGAACAACATAATTCAAGCTGCCATTTAAATGCATGTTTAGATTCTTCCTTTTTAATCTTGATAATGGAAGTACAACAGGAAATGTAGTTGGTAAAAATTTCATTTTCAGAACCTTTAGGAAGTTCTAGGTGAGTCTGGAAACCTTATTATTCATGTCCAGAAAGGGTGGCAATTAATATACATGCTCAGAATGCAGATTTTCCTCATAATATTGGCATGCTTTATGTTGCTCTGCTCACGATCCATGCAGCAGAATAAAATCCATCGCTTTAGGACAAACTGTTAATAGCTTTGGGGGATTGATAGCTGTGTTCTTCTGTACAACTCAAGAGTGGTATCTTCCCTATTCCCAAAATAGTAATTATGAACCTGAAGCAGAAGATTCAGCTTAACAAAGTAAACCTGGAATAAATGCCAAATATAGTACATGGCTGCTGTTACCACTACCATATTCTCATTCCCTTTCTTAAGAAAACATGTCTATAGCTCTATTGCAGGTCTCTTTTCAAAATCTGGCATGTTAATCTTACTTTCTTCTCTTGTGAAAGAAAAAGACTCTGAGATACCTCTCACTTCCTGTTTGCTCTTTAGGCCCAGAGTCACAGACCATGCCATTTGGAAAGGTTACGGGTCCATGCTGTTTCTCTTCAAAATTACTTTAATTCCCCCAAATAATCTCTTGACTTCTTTGAACTTCTCAGAAGACAAACTGAAAAGATGAGCATGTAGGAACATATATGGAGCCGCACTGTCTCATACTATGTTTATTACCGCAAACCTATTCTCTTCACAAAGTGAAGCCTTTGTAGAATCCACGAAGGAGGGTCTTAAATAGACTCTGAAAGGATTTTAAAGTTCTTCTTAAAAGTTTACAGAAATAGGATTTACCAAATGTTCAAAAATAATTATGATGAATCACAATTGTGAAGAAATGGTTTTCTGTCTTTATTACAAAGTTATTTTTAAAGTGTTTCTTCGTGAATCATACAAAATAAGCAATTGCAAAATAAATTGTCATCTTTGCAACTACATCTGAGAGAGGGAAACTAGAGTTAAAAAAAGAAAACCAATATTTTAATTGAAGAATATTTTCTGATCAGTAAAAGCAAAGATATAGCAATGGAAGAATCAATGTACTTTCCACATGTAGATTACATCATTATTAAATAATACTCATTAAATTTTGATTTAATTTAAATTCATACCAAAGCTCTAAATTAACTTGGTAAAATGGCAAGCCTTTATAGATTATTCAATTCCTTTAGGATTGAAGCAGCAAATTATCTTAGTTCATGAAACTGGAATCAATTCTTTTGAGACAAACACTGATGATGGAGTTCATTCTCTGCCCAGAATTACTTGTACTCAAAGTGAACCAAGTAACAGTGAATATTTCCACATGCATCAACACTACATGTTCCCTTTATTAAATAACTGTTTTAAGTATTTTATTAAAAGAATGTTACCTCTACTCATGTCCTTTTGTTCTTAGCAGTACCATGAACATCAAACATCTGGTTATACTGACATTTTTATTCTCTGCACATAACATAATGTTGAGTTGGAGGGCATTCAGAGCTTAGTGAACAGCCCCAATATGACACCCTTCCCCATATTAGGTGTCTCTCCCACAACAGTTAACGTTTCTAAGGACATCTATCAAGTATACTATAATATAAATCACATGTCTATGTTTCCTGTTAGACAGTGAACTTCCTGAGGGCAGAGAAATACCTTTTTACCTCTAGTATTATCTAACACAGGGGCCTGTACATAACAATGATAAACATAATAATATTAATCCTTCTCAAACACTTACTATGTACCAGCACATTACATGATTAATCCTTACATGATCAATCCTTGCAACAACTTTGTGAGGGAGGTACTATTTATACACATTTATAAATGGGGCAAAACTGAGGTACCTATAGGTTTAGTAGCTCAGCCAAGCTCTATACAACTAAGTGACCTTCAAAGCCAAGACTGAAACCCACGAAGCCCAGCTCCAGAGTAAGGAGCTTAACCTCTAAACGGTATATTCTGCTGCTTAGAGTTTATGTTTAATAATTTTCAAGGCAAATGGTTGCTTGACTTTTCTGTAAATATGTACTGGGCTATAAAAATATAGTCTTTCAAAGAAGTTGCCTGGGGATGCTACTATTATTCAAAATGTTTTGTAATTCCTTCTTCAGAGTTGTTTTCAGAGCCAGTTTATGAATAACAGAACAAAAGCACCAAAAGCAGTCAATATATTATGATCATGGCTCATTTTAAAATAAACACAATGTTATTCAGCTTGATAAATGCCTTACTTGCCCGTATTTTTTCATATTTGTTTTCCAAAAACATTCTCCATTAAAATAATAAAAATTTGTTATTACTGAAGATGGCCCAAAATGTAATACAGAGATAGGTTTCAATCAACTAACAAACATTTACTGACCAATTAGTTCTATACGTGCTTGGTTCTAAAGACAAAAAAACAAAAAATCAAACAAGACACCTTTCATATTTTTAGGGAGTTCCAGCCAAATAAAGGAGAAAGACAATTTGGAGTGACAGATTTTTTAACATATATAAGCACAGGATTCCCCACAAGCCCAGAAGGGGGATATCAAATCCAGCCTTTGAGGCCAGCTTGCTAAAGGAAAGAAAAGATATCTAACGTCCGTTCCAAATGACAACCAACAGAACAAGAGCATGGGCTCTTTGGTGGCTACATTAAAGTGGGATTGTATCTTTGGACAGGTACGTCCTATCGTATTTATTTTTAAAAGATAACAGTCGCGTTTTATAGTCATATCACACACTCTGCTTTTAAACAAAACCTGGGAAACATTTGTTGATGTTAGCATAAAAACTGCCTTAGTTTTAAGAATGTTTGAGTACTGTTTGCTTTTGTTACTGAAACATTTACATCATTTCTCTGAAGAATTTTGTTGATGAAGTAAACAGAAAAACCAATATCCTAAGGCATTAATCATCAGAATCTACCACTGTGCAACACTACACCTTATATGCAGTAGGCACATGACTATTTGATAAACAACCAATTTTTCATAATTTGAACAAAACAATTGTATCCTTTACTTCCTCTTAGCCAAGTAGGACAGAATAACCATCCGTGGAGATAAGGGACTGCTCTGGCAGAGGCTTTTGCTTTTCTCACTGTATCAATTTGAGGGGAAGTAATTTTGAACCATGAGGGGAGGAAGATAGACCACCCAAGAAAGGGCTGCCTTATGTTTTTGTGGCTTGCCTGTCCATAAAAATCAAATGACCTTAGGGTTATACAAAACTGTCCTTAGAGAGATTGAAAGATCTAGAGAGGTGGATAAATGTTGCTCAACATGGGTAGAACTAAGTGCTTAGATATAATAAAAAATGGTGGGATACCCCAGTTTTATGTAGAGGCTAGAATTTAAAAGTTCTCTTTCTTAGAATCCTCAAGCCTTAGGTGACCTGACTCTAACTCCTTAGAACTGTTATAGAGAGCAAGAAGTAGGACACATAACAAGAAAGCTTAGATGGAGATTGGGAGAGGTCTTTCTGGGATTTGACAATGAAATGATCTTGCAGAGGAGTATGCACTGGGCACCTGGGGAAAAGAAATACCTGGTAAGCAAAGGGCATTAAAGACAAACGACTTCCTTCACAAATCTGTCTACAGCTAGGCTCAGTGAGTTCAAAAAAGATAATTTTCGCCAGGGATTTAGCTCAGTGGTTTCACTGCCTGCTGCGCAAGTGTAAGGACCCGAGTTCAATCCCCGGTACCAAAAAAAAAAAAAAAAAGAAAAAGAAAAAAGATAATTTTCCTGCTCTATTTGCTTCCCTACCATTTATTCACTCATTTAATGCATAAAA